AATCATTCGAGTAGGAGGCAGCAAAATTGTAAAGATTCGATAGATTAAAATGCAAATGAAAGGTAGAAAAAGAAACATTAACATGGCAATCAAAGATTTAATAATCGTAAATCACGGTGGGGTTTTTTTGTTGCAGCTGCAGTTTGTGTGTTTTTTATGTTTTAATCATGTTCGTTCTATAAATAAATAATTTCTGAAACGAGACTAATTTTTCACTATTTTAACCGTGAGCTATGGCACTAAATATTTTTTTTTTAAGTATGGAACTCCAGATTGCAAACTATCAGACCAGAAAAGGAGGAAAATATAGCTAAGTTGGATTAGTTCACATTTGAAATTTCAAGTGCAATGTCTTCGCACTGCCGACTGCTTACCTTTCCAATTGAAATCCTTATAAAGTTTATTTGGAATCATGAATGTTTATGTGAAAGCAGACAACCGGCGTTTCTTTACAAGGCTAACGGTAGCGCCAACCCTCATTCCTGGAGGAAATATGGAAAAATATATTTACATATATATGTTCTTTTCCCTATGTATATATATATATATATATACACACAGGGGAAAGAACAATAACACTTAGGCTATATTACCTTCAAACTAAAGCGTTGCTAAATTTCCAAGGGATGATTGAAGAGGGGGAAACCTGGGGAGAGAGGTGATCAATGCGGGGAAGGACGAGCCGGAGAGATTTGCTCTCCCCTCGGTTTAGCGCTGCGTCTGAAAGAGAGGCTCCGGGGCTGCCTAGGGTGGCTGTGGGAAATTCAGCATCTTTCTGTCCCGGCTCCCACGGGCTCGGCTTTGGTCGCCCCAAGTCTCGGGTTATGGGGTGCACTGGCTCATCCTCTGGGGAAGAGGCTGGAAAATAATTCTTTTAACTTTCGGGCGCAGCGGATGGAGTTCATTTGTTGCTGCGAGGAGTGGGGGAGAGGAGTTAATCTTTACTTCGTTGGTAATCCTTAAAGAGCCAAGGGAGAGAGAAGGAAGAGGGGGGAGAAGAAAAAACGTGAGCTCCTCCGGTTTGGGGTTTTTCCGCAGCGCTGCCCTCTCTATAAAGCGCTCGGCGAAAAGAAACCGGTAAAAACCCCCAACTAAATGCGGGAAACGAGCCGCATTTCTGCGCCCTCCTCCTCGCCGAGGGGGCCCAGCCCTGTCCTGTGCCCCCCTCCCCAGGTCCCCCGGTGTCTCAAGCAGCGCTCGCCGCCGCCGGACCTTCCCCCGGTGCGGCCGCCGCTCCGCGCCGCGGGGCCCCGCGGATCCCCCGCGGCCGAGGGGATGCTGCGGGGAAGGGTCCCGCTGCGAGGAACCCCCGCCACAGCACCCCCGCACCGCCGCCCTCCAGGCAGGTACCGGCCAAACTCTTTAGAACTGGGGGGTAGAATTCACCGAATGTTTTTTTTTCCCCAGCCAATTCACACTAAACCCACTTTAATTTTTTCCCCTGCTGAAGCCCTTTTTTTTTTTTTTTTTTTTTTTTTTTTTCCCCCCCCTCAGTCCCTCTCCCCAAACTGGGGGGTCCCAGCAGGACGGCCCCGCCGGGAGCTGCCCTGGCCCTGCCCGCCGGCTGCCGGGGCCGCGCTCCGGGCGGTGCCCGGGACTTGTTGTCTGCCAGGCGGGGAGCGGGGCCGGGGGGGTCCGCGGCCGGGAGGGTCCGGGGGGGCCCCGCCGCCTCCCGCAGCCCCTGACCCCGGCATGCACGGCGCGGCTCCATTGATCATCCCGGCCCGCCACCCCCTCCCTTTATGAGATAATGCAATTACAAACATCAATAAGGAGCTGCGAGGGGAATCATTATGCGGTGACAGTGATAAATGACGGTGCAGAAATAGCATGCTTTTTTTTTTTTTTTTTTTCCTCCCTAACAATCCAGGGGCTTTGGGGGCTGAGCACAGTCACCAAGGTAACAGATGACATCCAAAATGGCACCAAAGGAAAAAAAATGAACAGTCTTTCTTTCGCCTTTCACTCTTTTCGCTCTGCTCTTCCAAAAGAGTTAGTTGGGGCTTTGGAAGCAGCTGCCACACAGGCATGCGGGTATTTCCACACGCATTAAAGGGACGGGGAAGGTTTGCTGGCTGTCACACAAAAAGCACCAGCCCGGCCCGGAGCTGAGCAGCCACCTCCAGGCGGCCTCGGGAGCGCCCACCCACCCCACCCGCGATCGCCCCCGCGCCGCCACGCACCGCCCACCCCTGCCCACGGCCGGGGGCAGCCGCCTCCTTCTGGCCCTCGGGAAGCGTTCCTTCGCTTTTATATGGATATAAATATATAATTATATATATATATATATGTATATGTATTCATCCCGGGCGGCACAGCAAGGTCAGGGGAGTGGGTAAATGCTCTGCTGTTTTCCACGCAGGTTCAGGACACGGGGAGCGAGGCCCCGGGTAACGGGGGGACTTCCTGCGCACCAGAGCCGGGGGTGGAAATATTCACCGCGTGGCCGAAAAGTGCCGATTCTGAGCCCCAAAGTACCTGTGGCTGATGGAGGCACGGCAGGGCAGGCACCGCCTCCGCCGCCTCCCGCGAGTCCCTCTGCCTGGAGGGGGGCGCGATCCTCCTGGCTGGAATTTGTTGTCCCCCCGCAAAAAAACCTCGTGGGGTGCGGATGCCCAGTCCAGACGCAGAGCAGGCCTCGTGCAACTACCGCGCTGAGGGGTCTGGCCCCTCGTCCGCCTCTGGACAGGGGGAGGTATTGGCTCCGCGGGACACTGCGCCCGGGGGTGCGGGAGGGCCGGTGGGGGGACGTTTGGCACAAAAAGAGAAGGGGGACGCGGGAAATGGGGACCGATTAAAAAAAAAAAAAAAAGGCAACAACCTAACCAAACCAACCACCCCCCCAAAAAAAGAAAAAAAAAAAACAAACAAAACCAAACAACCCCCAAAACCAAAAAAAAAAAAAAAAAAAAAAAAAAAACAAAAAACCCACAAAAAACAGGAGGGAGAAATAGGAGAAATAGAGCCTCACGGAGGGTTGCGCAAACTTTGGTCCACCAACGCGCAACGTCCGCGGCGCTGCGCGGGCAGCCCCGGAGCACCCCGCACATCTCCCCCCCCCGCGTCACTCTCCAGAGCCCCCAAGAGATGGCAGTCGAAGACGGCTTTCCTCCTCCTCCTCCTCCTCTTCCTCCTCCTCCTGCTCCTCCGGCTCCTCCTGCTCCTGGGCGACGGGCAGCGGGCAGCGGCAGGACAGCGGGGCGAGCCGCTCCCCCCCGCTCCCGCACTGCGCCCCCGCGCAGCCCCCGCGCAGCCCCCGGGCCGGGGTGAGGCGCGGAGGCGCAGCCGGGAGGCCTTCCCCGGGCCCCTCCGGGCCCCCCCGGTGCGGTGAAAGGAGGGTAGCTAGGAAACAGCGAGCGGCCCGAAAAGGCGGAATTTCCAACGTGTAAAATGTTCTTAACGGAGCCATTGAGAGAGTGCAATAAGGCGTGAGGGGGAACTAATCTCCCCATTTAAATGTTTGTGGCAATTTTATCTAAATGAATTTTAATGCTAAACGAGGGATAATTCCCTATTTGTAACCCGTTTACTTCTCTTTCCTGTGCCTCTGAAGCTGTCTAACATCATGCGATGAACAATAACAATAAAAATACTGTCAGGGCATATTCTTCATTTTGAATGTGTTATAATTACAGCTGATTAAATGTCTTGGGATGTAATAGTGGGTTTAATTTGAAATAGGTCCCCCCTCCCCAAAAAACAAAGTCCCACGGAGGAAGGTCTGTGCCCCACTTCGCTGCGGCCGCGAGGAGAAGGGACGCGTGTGCCCTCTCCTGCGAGAGGGCGGTTTGTTTTTGTCTTTCAAGAAACATTAAAAAAACATCCAAGCACAGCACAACAAAACAAACAAAACAAAGCAAAAAAAAAAAAAAAGGGGAAAAAAACCCCTAAAAAAAGCAAAAAGCGAGCCCTGTTCATTCACGTTTTGGCAGAAAAGTGTCATTACTCCGGGCTCACAAAGAGGGAGTCGGGATGTGCAGTCTCCTTGGCGGCACTGCGGCCCTTTAAAAAAACAAGGGGGAAAAAGAGGGGAAAAAAAAAAAAGAACACTCAGGGTTAAAAAAAAAAAAAAAAAAAAGGGGGGGGAGGAGGTCCAAGCCGTAGGGGGAGAGGACCCCACTTTGGTGATTTGCTTCACTGAGAAAGGTCTCCACTGCCTGCCTGCACCTCTGCCTGTACCCCCGTCTGCCCCCTGCCCAGCCCGGGGGTACCCAGGGGACACGCAGAGCAGGAGGGCCCCGCCGGGAACCTGTCCCAAAACACCTCCGGGACACCTCCCGCCGGGGATGCCGGCTGGCTTGGGGGGGGGGGGCTGTTCCATGATTTTGCCTTAATTAAGATATTTGTGTCCTTTTCCTAGCCTCAGGAAACTCAGTTTTTTCTTCTATAGCTGCGATTTGATTTAAAGCAAACGAGAAGGTCTTCCAGCCGCAGCCTGCCCAGGCTGGCTGGGACTGTTTTACTCGCTGGCTGCGGTGCAAAAAAAGTACAAATGTGTGAGGAAATTGGTTAATGAGGAGAGGAGAGGAGAGCCTGCACTGGCCTTGCTTGCAGGGGTCCAGCAGCACCTCATGCCCTTACAGACATGCCTTGCCCAGGCAATGTTTCCCAAGTTTTATTTTCCTCCTTCCTTAGTATGCTCAATTCCAGAAAGAAACTCAATAATTTAAACTGTGTATTAGAACTAGAATTTGGAGGGCAGGGAGGGTAATACTATTTACAAATTTCTGTCCAATAATGCCCTACGATATTACATTTATTAACAGGCAACAGTTCCCATCCTGAAAATTTACAGTGCAAGTTCCAAGAAAGTTTCTTTACTGAGGGTAGTATTATTTTTACATTCTTTAAATATGAAGCTGATATTTAAATAGCAAATGATAGATAACATCTCCAGAGCCAGCTGAATTTTGTAGCTGCTTGGCTCCCAATTTGGGATAGAATGGCTACAAATACTGCATGGGGACAGGAAACAAATTTTGCAAGCAGTGGAGTCACCATGACAAAAAATAATTTGTTTTTATTTTAGATTCAGATTTCATTACTGCACTCAAACTACTACAACTGGGCTTTGAGTTATTATACAATCCAAACTGTTTCAATCAGAAACTCTAAGACTCAGTGTGCAATGATTATTATTAATAATAATTAGCTCCTTGGTTTCTTGATAGAAAAAGGCTATCAACAAGCATTTGTTTAACCACAACAAAAGTATAATTAGCTTATCCCACTTAGTAAATCTGTATGCATGCCAACTCATACCAAACCGCTACTTTTACAAAAAATTGCAATAATACAGATCATTTTTCCAGTCCTTTTTGCACAAAATTTATTTACAATGTATACATAAATGCTCCATGATGGGACTATGGAAAAAAAAATGCACACATGACCGATGTCTTGCCCAGAAAGAAAGTCAACATATTAAAAATAAATCTTCAGTCCATGTTTCGAGCTGCATAAAACAGGAAGTGATGTACAAGGTGGTGGTTGCTGCATGGGGACAAGGATGCTCTGATGTGACAATTAGGCTTCAAATACACTGCCTTTCCGTTTCCATGCTTCCTCCTACCAGTCTCCTTAAGACACTGCCTGCAACAGCTGATTAATCATTGTTGATGACTGCAGTTTTTCCCATCCTTCCCGATTTACATCTGTTCAGGCCAATTCAAATATGGTGAGTAAATGAATTAGACATGCAAATTCACGCCCCAGGCTAGAAAGAGAGAGAGGGAGAGAGATGGGGAGAAAGGGAGAGAAAGGGAAGAAAGACAGACAGAGAGAGAGGAGGAGAGAGGGGGGAGAGAGAAAGTGTGCATGGCTGAAATCCTAGGATAGAAGAAAGATTCTTCTGCCTGACATAGTTATTTTAATGCTCTAAAAATCCTGCAAATAAGCCCTTTCTGTCATTTGCAGGATAAGTGTAAGGCTTCTTTTTTAATGTAAGGAGGCTTCTGGAGGAAGTGAAGAGCTATGGAAACAACACACATAGTGTGGAAAAATTTCACATTTTTTTTAAAAAATCTATAAGAAACAACGTAATATGGATAACAGTATAATAGCATTTTACAATATTTCACTCTTTGTTCTCTTAATGTCTTATATAGGTATTTAGCATGTCCCCAGAAGTTGACTTCGGTTGGTGTTTTCCTGCTTTTCAGGGTCCCTGTGAAGAACTGGAACGTCCCTTGGTCCAAAGTTGACACCAAGAACTCCATAGTCATTGCAGAAAGACAATGTTTGAAATCTACCATCGCTGCAGACAACGTGTGTTTCCCTTAAGCTACTGAGCATGAATGTCCATCACTTGTCCGCTCACTGCTGGCTCGCCGGTATGAAGCATTGTGGGGCTTGATGCTGACATGGGCATTCCAGGGTGGGGTGGTCCTCCATGCATCATCATCGCTGGGTGGTGAGGGTGTCCAGGAATGTAGGTATGCATGGGGGGGCCATGACGCAGCTGAGCAGGATGGGGGGGCATCTGGGGCGGGGTATAGCTTGGCTGTCCCATATTCATACCCATTGGACTACCCCGAGACACATAATCCCCTGGCATACTTTGCAGCCCTGCGGAGAGAAAGAGGTGGTCGTGAGTGGTGGGGACTGGCCGCCGACACTGGGCTGTGAAGCTCATCTGCTCGGGTACAGAAGGCCGGGATTGAGCCCAAGGAGGGATGCAGAGTCACGGATACGCGAGCACAAGTTGCCTTTGTGGAATCAGAGTCTACGTATGGACTCACAATGAAGGCAACAGGAACGATTCCCAGGTCAAAAAGAAACCCCCCAAGAACCTCCTCTCCCCTCCAAATACAGAGTCTTTGGAGATTAAAACCGCTTTCTCCTTTTCTGGTTAGGAATATATGCAATGGAGATGTTTCTGATCTGGAAGCAGGTGAGAGGCAGAGCCAGCCTGAAGATAACTAAAGTCACGAGGAGTGGTGGCACTAAGCCCTGTGAGGGCTCTCAGGTGGGCTCCATTCCCCATGACCTTACTCCAGCCACCTGCCTTCGTCTCCCCACTTGTAAAAGCATGCTGGGAATACAGGGCAGGGAATTCGTTGTCGTTAATGAGGGGCTCAGGAGGAGAGATGGGTTAAATAGGTGTCAAGGTTTATCAACAGCTATTTATTTAGCTCTTGAGCCTGATCACTTGGAATCTCTCCCAAGTATTTGTGCCATTCAAGTAGATGCTATACAACAAGAACATACATTGCTGAACAAAGGCCTCATATGAAGCCGAAATTGATAGGATTACTAAGTACGACTGCTAAACCAAACCCGTATTTTTAAACACATTAAAATATATATATAATCAATAACAGTTATCAATTAATTCTTTCCCCCCTGCTCACCTCTGGCCACAAAAAAAAAAAAAAAAAAAAAAAATCAGACGCGCAACTCAGTCAAACCTTTCAGTGGGTTTGGGAGAACAATAAGAAAAAAAATTGGACCTAAAACAATAAAACCTCCTGCTTTCTGTGGGCCTCTGCCTTCTGCTTGGATTGCTGTAGCTGATGGGAACTGACAGGTGTATTGTTTCGGAGAGCTATAAGCTCCATAATCATCAAGGGTGAAAGGCATACGCTATTGCTAAGTAGGTTCAATTGGCTTTAGTTCTAAGTAAGAGCGCGCTGTGAATGCGCCGAACACCTTGGAATCAGGTCTCAAGGCTCTAGCAATGAATAGCTGCTTAATCTAGCCTAAAGGAACAGTTTTGAACTAATGAAAATTGCTTATAAAATATACTGTACTCACAGCTCTTTAATCAAAAAAGATGATAATATTTTTTGTAATAACCTATTAATTTAATTGGTCACGAAGCATAAAATACATCATTTAAATTTAATTGACCCAGAAACTAAGAAACAATATTTAAATTAACTAAGCTAGAAATTTTCATGATGAGGTAATAAGGCTGTTGCATTCCCAAGCTCAGAGGAATGTTTTCACAGCTAATTGTTAAAACTTAGTTTTGACTTGGGCCCAGAGAAGAGTACTACGAAATACACTTGCCCTGGGTAACTTCAAACCCTATGTTAATATAGGCTGGGGGCACAACAAAAATGCTGAAATAACTCTTTCAACTCCAGAAAAGAGCAAGAGGAACAGAATCACGCACCATTTAAACATGGTATCGGTGTCTTGGTGTTTCAAACCACTTTACTCTTAAAAAAAAAGAAAATACAAAAATTTGTATAATGTATTTTCCCCTATAAAAGACAAGAGGGGAAAAAAAAAACTGGGACAGTTTTTCTAGGCTTTCTTCGCAAGGCCTGCCACTGAAGATTGCATTAATGATCTCTATTTTTGTATACTGAATAAGTCAAATCCATTTGTCACACTGCAAGTGATGGCATACTTAATTTGGATATAGTCAATTAGCCTGGGCTAAGCTCCATAGCCTGCTGCGCACACCTCTATTTTGTATTCTCTCTTTTTCCTTTGCCACACGTAATCCCATTATGATGGACAGACAAAGAGAAATAAACTTGAAAAAAAAATAAAAAAAAAAAAAGAAATCAAAGTTTCGTCCATCGCCTTCCAAAACGCAACTAAGTGAAGCTGCCGTTTTTTTGTTTGGTGTGTTTCTTTTTTCCTACCCTACGAGAAGTCTCCGCTTGGCTTTTTTGGTGTCTTGCAGGTTAGCGGGAGAAATGTAACTCATGCATCAACTGCGGTTAGACAGATTTATGACACTTTGGGGACATGCTCTTTCCTCTCCCTGCGCTGCTGCAGACCGCTTACATTTTGCAAATCAGTCTGTTGCCAAGACGACGGGCTCCCCCACCTCCCCGGCTGCTCCTTGTTTTGTCATGTGCTCGGGGATGGATAATAGCATCAATGTATGGCGGCGTCGATGTACGGCAGCGTCAATGTACGGCGCGCGCGCGCACGGGGGGTTTTGGGAGCTTGGAAAGCTTGAGCTGAACCAGAGGGAGAGAAAACCCGAAGGAGCCCAGGCGTAGGATGGATGGATGGAAAGGAAGGAACAAGCATGAGGCTATGGGCAGGGAGAACATAGGGAAATGCAAGAAGACAAATATCCCTCGGACAAAGTGAGAACAAAGACCTCGTTTGTACTTACTTCCCCCTGGCTTTGCCATTGGTTACCTAGGTGAAGGTTACATGTAGTGCCACTGCCCCTCCATGCCCATATTCATGCCCATTCCACTCATAGGTCCTAGAGGGAGATAAAAATCCAAGAAGATGCCAGAAAATGAGCAAAGTCAACAGATAGTGCCAAAAGCCCCTTTCCAAAACACAGCACCGGCAGAGGGTCCAGGACCGCTCGAGCACGGAGGTGCCTGGTTTCCCTCGGCGGTGTGGAAGGCAGGCAGAAGACAGGTGAGGCAAGGCAGGCAGCTGGGACGGCAGCGGAGGGCGGAGGTGTTTTTACCTGCAGTGGCGCGACCGAGGCCACCCATACGTGGGTGACGCTCTCCCGGGGCTTACCTGGTGCTCGGATGCCCATGTGCTGCTGGCCGTCCATCACGAAACCTCCCATCGGTTGCCCGTCGGGGTTATAGGGTGTTCCTTGACTTACTGGAAAAGTGCAGAACATTGCTTTTTAGCAGCAGCCAAGAGGGTCATCTCTTCTCATGGCATCGAGACACAATCCCCCCTACCCGCGGGCTATCACTGTTGGCTCTAAAGAGAGGGAAAAATATCTACTGTGTGAATTTAGCGCCGGCCTAACAAGCACGCTTACGTTTTGGCTTAATCTCCTTCTGCAAGTTTGGAAATGAAGTTTGCAAACTGAAATCTTGAGACATGAGGAGCCTGGGCTCCAGCTGCTGCCGCTGCTGACGTCAATGCAAAAACCTGTATAGGAGCCGGATTTTATGGCTGGAATAGTCACACTGAAATCACAGTGTGTTAAATTACGCCCCTGTGCCTTCTAAGAGCGGGATCTGAACATGTCCATGCCAGATATTTACCTCTAATGACAAACAATCAAATGTACTTGTAGAGGAAGTGTGGTCCAAAGGCATCTTGGACAACGATGTATTTGGAGAGTTTGACAGTAAGACTTGGAAAACAAAACCAACTGGGACTAACTGGCTCTGGTAATCCTTGATGGTAAATACCCGCACAGAGCTGCGAGCCAGGACCCCAGACAGAACCAGCATGTGGAAACTTAAGGTCTTTTAAAGAAGTAGAAATAAATCCCCCCAAAGTAAACAGCAAATGCTCAGCAATCCCAAAAGACAGCTACTAAAAAGAAGAGCCAAGGGACAAAAGAACCCTGTACAAGTACCACTACCTGAACTGGAGGTTTTGACTGTACATTAAAAGCCGGCTTCAGAAGTAAGCTGCCTTGGGTTATTAAAGCACATAAAGCTCTACCTCATTGAATGTCTTTGAACTTTACTGAGTCCCACAAGCGATTCTGACCCCTTTGCCCTTTTGACAGGTAATAAAGTTTACAGCAATTCCACACCAAGCCATGCACCAGGGAGTGGTCACAGGAGCAGAAAGAGCTGGTAAAAGGAAAACTCCAAACAACTGCTAAAAAAAATAAGAATAACTGGGATCACGTACAGAAAGTCCGGTCATGGAGCGGATCATTTTAGTTTTTCGTTTTGAATTTTCAATGTCTTTTTTTTCCCCCAAATGTTTTTAATCATGTTAAAATGATTAGAGTCGTAATGAAAGAAAGCTGGTTGTATTTTAATTGTCAATCACTCCCAGCATTCATTTCTCATTTATTTACCAGGTAATGGACCTCCCCGTGAATGGCTTGAGGATGGTTTTCGCCTGCGTGACTTGAATACAGTTACTATTGGGGACTTGCCTGCTCGATTGGACTGGTCTATCATGGGCTGAACTATTCTTCTTCTAGCATTAATAAACCTGCAAGAAAAAAAAAAAGGAAAGCAAATGGTTAGGGAAGGGATGTCTTCCACCCATCCCCAAGCCCTCTTGCCCTTGTTGTGGCGCTCTCCATCGAGCTGCGTGGGGATGCAAACACTGCTAAACCTCTAACCCTCATGACCTTTGAGAGCACGAGCTTGGGGTTTCCAAGCTGATTTATGTTTGCCTGCTTTTTACCACAGTTGGACACTTCCATTTCATCTTTTCATGGGGGAATTAGCCGAGTTTTCAGGAAACAATACCAGCAACGCTCTTCTCAATACAGAATGGGGCACCGAAAAAACAAAAACGTGTGAAGCGAGATGTTCGTGAGGGCATCTGCTACCTCCCCCCTCATTAGTGTCATTTCTGCCTTATGTCCTCTGACTTCTTTTTCCAATTTTTTTCTTTATCAAAACCTGCCCCTACCTCTTGCAAACCTAATTCCCTTTTAATGCCCACTATTAAGATAATGAACTGTGATGGCAGAACCCCATCAAATGAGGGAACGTCTGGACTTTTATCACCACTAAGTCACACTGCTGGGGACTTCAGAGCCATGCATTCCTCCTAGCCATTTCTTGGTGGGCTTTTTCCCCCCTCCCTCTCTTTATGCAAAGTCTGAGGGGGTCAAGGCGAGGTCATAGCTTTACAGTAATTGAATTTATAATCCTGTTTTCTCCAGCTAGGCCTGACCATTTACAGCAAACATCTTGTTAAACTGTAATTACTGGACTACTGAAAATTCCCCCCCGAACAATGAAAAGCAGATCTTTGGAAATAATAAAAAAAAGAAGGTACGGTCATTTTTAAAAATAGCCATCTGCAACCCTACTCCTTGTGTTTCTGTAGCTCTATGCCTCGGTTAGTCTTGCAATGCTTATTTGGAAGTATTCAAAATAATTTGGAGCAAAACAGAAGAAGGAGAGAGATCACAAGTGCCCCAGTCTCCTTGTGGCTCTGAAGTCAGGAGGCTGGAAATCATGGATGGGAACCTGTCTGAATGAAGAGCATTTGAAGAACCTCTCTTGAGATTTCACTCATCAGAAAGTTCAGTTAAAATCCGTTTGGAAAAAAATCTTCACAGAGATCTGATCACAGTAAAGTTGTATAACCGGACTTTTCATTCTTTATGAGAGACAAAAAGAATAATAAAAATGTGTACGCCGCAATATTTACTAGCAAAGGAAGACGCGTGAGCATTGGCTAAACCACACCACACTTGTAAACTGGGATGGGAAACTTCACAAAGGAATACTTGATACTTGTTTTCATTGCCTTTGCTTGAGGTGGCTTAGCAGGAGCTCTCCTCCCACAGAGATAAAGCCACCAGGATCTTTCCGCAGGAATCAGCTCTGCCCACCCATTTCCCTACACCAGAGGGGAGAAGAATAGCAAACCACTGCCCCATGCTGTTTCTTTTGCCCTCATCAAAGACCAGCACAGTGATTTTGGACTCCTCCTATCTCCCATTCCCCACTGACACCCATTACCCAAAGTCCTGCAAAAATTAATCAAGATGTTGAGTCCTTATCAAACCCCTTGTCTTGAGGAAACGGGCTCAAAGGCACCAAATCTGGGTGCCAATCTGGAAACCTTACACCTGAACTAGGTCATGTTTTGTCAGCAACAGTATTGGATCAATTTTTCTACACATTTCCAATAAACACCACCCTCAATGCCAGCAAACAGTGTTGCAAATCAGTTTATCATTATCTTGTACAAACCATGAAAATTAGAATCATGTGAGCAGAAGGTTAGACTAATTTTCCTTTCTCATTATAAGCACAGGTGTAGCACAAACACCATGTGAAATAAGCAATTAAAAGAAATCTGCTTTTTTTCCCCCATTAGCTGCCTTAGCTCCATGACCAATTGGAAAATTGTTTAATATCTGTAATCTGCATTTGCAGAAAGCAATTTTCACAGTAACTCTTCGAAGTAAAACAACAACACAGAACCCTAGTGCCTCAGCCACTTCTTTTTGCAAGTCTGGCAAGGCTCTTTCTGTGTTTACTCCATCCTTCTCCTGCTGCATTCCCAGGACCTGGTACTGTGGAAACGGGGGGAGGATTTTTGGTAGCCGTGAGAGTGACTGGTCACCAAAACCTTCATTTTTTCAACAGCTTTGACCCCAAAGAAATGCTGAGCAACATCAAGCATGCACACCCCAACTTCAAGACCTTCTCCTCCTTCTCCTCCAAACTACAAGCACTTTTAAGAAGAAGGGGGGGATCTCAAGATAATAAACTACACTATACATAGTTTATACACTAATATACCAGAATAAATTATATATCTAGGATTTACCAATAATTATCTGCCAGACGTGCCTACGGTAAAACATATTCTCACCCATTTGCCCCATGCTGTCGCTTGGGATATCTGCTTTAGGAACGTTTTACACACAGGTACTTAACAGTTATCTTCTTCCTATGCATTCATGTAAGTATTTTCTATAAGTAGCAATTCTGCCAAACAGCCCAGTGTTTGGATGTCTTCGGGGGGAATTCAGACACAAGAACATTTTCCTTCTGGGCAAAGTAATAAAATGACATTCTCGCTCCTCCCACTAGAAGTCAAACGGAGGTCAGCTCCCCATCCTTGTATCTGTTTAAATAAACTGGTCCAGCTGTTTGTTTCCAGGATGCCCTTTAACCTTCTGTCCCATCCTCCCTGCCTTTGTAACACAACGCTTTACTTTGCATTATAGTAGACTCCAAAACACTATGCATTAAAAAAAAAAAAGAAAAAGAAAAAGAAAAAAGAAAAATAAAGAAGAAAGTATTCACTTTCAAGTTTCTTCCTGCATCCTAAACCTGGAATTCCTAAGAACCCATCAGATTAAAACTATTAATGTGGCTTGCCCTGAGAGAGCACAATGCAGTGCTACTATGTTTATAAATCACATTTGAGAACTCTTTGCAAGCAAAACTGTGAACTAGCTGTTGCTGCAGAAATACATGGACATGGGGTTAATTTCTTTATATTCTGGGTTGTTGGTTTTTTTTTTCTTTGAGAAAGAGTGATCTTTTGATCACTCTTTGAATTCCCAGGGTGCCAGGCTGATGTTAACATCAGTAAAAATGACGGAATAGAAAAGCTAACAGGAAAAATCTCCCTGTCCCTTTTCCCAAATGTTCATATTCACCTATCTTAAGAGAAGAAACCCTAAGTCACTCTAATTTTTAAAAGTTCAGAGGAAGCAGGACCTAAAAAACATATTTGCATACTAAATGCTACTGAAATGGAGTATTATCAAAATACAACTCAGAATAAAACTTAAGACAGACGTATAACCTTACTCATGAGCATAAAGACCCAGTCAGGCTCAAAAACTTGCATAAGGTATTTTTCCCCATACCAGTGGCTCTATGTATTGGTACCTTTGCTCTGACAAAAAAGGGGTTTTTTTGTTTTGGGTTTTCTGCCTCAAAAGGGTAGTGGCACAGACAACACAAGATCCCTCAGTGTACAAGTTGTACCCACCTCCCAGCTCAAGGAGAGCTGAGAACCTTTCAAAGTGATTTGGGCTGCTTTCTTCGAGCTCTTTTTTTTTTCCTTTTTTCTTTTGCAAGAGGAAGGATCTGGCATGGAGAAAACATTTGAACAGTTGGGCAAACACAAAAGTTTAGGGTATTTACTATTTTTTTTCAATTTAAGTTTTCCTTGCCCTGTTTGGACACAGGGGATTGTGCTTTCTGCTGCATACCAAAAAGCAAGAAAAAAACCCAGCAACTCCACCTGCATAAGCCTAAAGAGGAGGAGGAGGAGGAAACCCTCTTTTCTCCCATTTGCATTTTACTAGGATGTTTTCTCTTAGGTTTCTTGTCTGGGGTCTGTCTCCAGAGGTCACTGGCAGACTCCCCTGTTGGTGCATCGCCGGTCCCACGGGTGAGCTCCAGCCCCAGCCCCGGGGATGCAGCAATCTGCCTCTGCACTCTGACCTTCAGCTTGGCCGCCCTCGCTGCCACGCACAAGTTTTGTTTCTTCTCAGCAAGAGGCTGCATGGCTAGTGATGACAAAAGACTTATTTTAGTTGGAAATTGGCTACAATAATAGCAGCCAGAGAGCAAGGATTTTCAGAGGGTCACCAAACCCTCCGAAAGGCACAGCTCGCTAAGGCTCAGGTTACAGCCCAAGTGACATTTTCCGCACAGATCTGTTCTTTCTCCCTTCCCCTTGTATTTCACTTCTGTTGAGTGAATAAAACAAGACCTTCCTCTGCTGTCACAAATTTCCAAAGTCACCTTTGCTCAAGAATCGACAGAGCGATTGTGGGGACTTCCAATTTGCAGTCTTTCAATGAAATTTTCCAGGACCAGCTGTCTGAAAGATGATGCTGAGACTTTGCGGTCTATTGAATTTTTCTCTGCCCCCAGCCCTCCCAAATGAAGAGAGTTTCACACCATTACTGACTTTTGCTACTTGAAGTCGCAGGCTGGTCCCTCTCAATATTGTCCCAAAGCGCTGCATGACAGAAGTCTGTGTCTCACTAGCAGTGCCAAGAAGTTCCCAAAAATCTCTCTGCCTCATTTTCTCCTTGAGCTCCTTCTAGCAAACCAGGAGTAAGGAGAATGAGAAAGCCCGAAGTGCCTACAAACCCCAGTGCTAAAACCTCTCTTGCCCCTCTGAAAAAAACAGTATCCCTCTTGACAACAAGCAAATCATCATTTCTATAACAGATGCCAAAGTAACCAGAGCCCTTCAAACTGGCAAATTATTCACTTGTAAAATCAAGTCGCACTCTTTTCTGCATACTGGGATCCTTCATTTATACAGCAGCGAAACAACCTTCTCTATTCAGCACTTAATTCCTCAACGCTTAACAGGTTTATCTCTAATAAAACCAATTTAAATGGAAAGTGTGCTATAAACTGAGATTATTACACTTCAGTAACTGCTTTATTCCTTATTTTAACATATTTTCATTTTTTCCCTCTGTGTTTGTTTTCCAGAGCTTTTTAAAGGAGTCAGTTAAAGAAAAGAAAAAAAAAAAA